TAAAAATGTCATTTCCAACATTCAGTGTCAGAGCGTGCCATGACAATCTTCTACCGGTACTCCATCATGCAGCGATGGAGTAGCGTCTGATATTATTTATGACATCATATCTACGGTAAACATACATCATGAGGCATGCATGTGGTGAAATAAACGTGACATTTGTGGGGTAATGATAGTATAATTAAGACTACTGTTAGGACAGTAAGTGAAATATGATGACTCAAGACACAAGACTATGATTTAGGCACAAAATAGTTGTCAATGAGATGTAACTATTTTGTAAACAGTACACACAGCAACTAAAAGAGACTTAACTTTGCTAAGGTTATTCTTATTATGCTAAAGTCTCATTTCCTCATAAGCTTTAGAGTTTATTTTTAAATGTTGACGATGTCTGTGCGACCGGACGGACCATTACAATGTGTAAGGTGTTTTTTGTTTAATGCTGCACTCAGCAATATACCAGCTATATGACGGCGGTCTGTAAAGAATTAAGTCTGGACCAGACAATCTAGCGATCGACATCATGATAATCGATCAATGCATTTGGGATACGATGACATGCATCAACCAAGTCAGCGAGCCTAACCACCCGATCCCATTAGTTGCCAAGCATAGTCACCTCTTACAGTCAGCATGGGTTGCTTAACAGCAATTCTAACAAGGATATTCACAGGTTGAGAGTGGGCCCATCGATAACTATACTACTCAAACAAAGTTAAGGTCCACCTGATTTGGGTATTCCATAATTTTGTTTGAATAGTATACATGAGAAAATGCCTTAAATTATGTGGGGGAAAAGAAAATGAATTTCATACCATTTTTAGAATTGGATCTAATAATCTAAAAGAATTTTCTTTGATAACTGACAATAACAAATACCTTGGAGATTGAAATTAACGCATGCTCATTTCGGTTAATTCACAGAGGCTCCACTTAATGACTGACACTTGCCCTTGTTAATTTCACCAGTCAGTGGAGACAATGAACTTGCCTTTACCCAGATAGTCTCCAGGCTAGGTGTCACATAACAGCCAATTAAATTCTGGGAATTCCAACCTGTCAGGGAGGGGCGCACTTGCATTCTTATAACATGGAATCAGGGGTCCAAGTGGCCCTGGCCTTATAGCGAGGTGTGTATGTATACATGTAAATTCTGTACTGGTACACTTGGGGATATTGGGATACTGGGTCATTGTTCAGTTGTGTTCTGTGCTGTATATTGTGTGCTGACCAGGGTACTGTTTATTGGTATGAGGTTTGAATCAATGTGATCCATAAAGTTTTGACAGCCATATAGGTTGTGTGACCTGATGTTTTTGAATTGACTTTTTATCGTTGAGCCTATCCTTGTGCCTGCTTGCACATACAAAAACAGCCCATTCAAAGAATACATGCTGTTACAAGTAATTCACAAGTAATTCACAAGGAACTTACTTCTAGTCTGGTCTCCAATGTTAAATTTACAATAGTATGCGGGCAAACAACAAAAGAAAACATGGGCCGCAGGTAACCATGGTAACATGCCTTGGATATGGGTCAGTAGGTGATATTATTTTGATTCAAATTCCTTAAATTTAATGGTGACAATTTTCTTGACATCTAATTACAATGGCTACAGATATTAATAAATTTCAATCTAGCCAATGACTCAAATGTTTTATACTTATCATGCTTATAGGTTTAATGAATACTGGGGTATTTTTCTTTCGGGTCGTCGATGAAACAAAAAAACAATACAATAATATTTACAAGGCAATTACATACCCCTTCTACACTGTTGTTTTATGTCAAAAAAGTGTACTACACGCAAGAAAACATGGTTGGTTGGTTTGTTGTTTTACGCTGCACTCAGCAATATTCCAGCTACATGACCATGATGACGGCGGTCTGTAGATAATCGAGTCTGGGCCAGACAATCCAGTGATTGACATCATGAACATCGATCCACGCAATTGGGATCGATGACTTGCATCAACCAAGTGAGTTAGGCGCCTTTTACAACAAGCATAGTCGCCTGTTACCATGGTTACGGCAAGCATGGGTTGCTGAAGACCTATTCTACCCGGATCTTCACGGGTCAGAAAACATGGACTGTTATGTACATATTCAGTCTCAGACAGGGTGATCATAAAGACATCTTCCTGGGGCAAGGGAGTTAACTGACTGTAAACTGTAAAAAGTCCAATTTCCATCTTTGACAAACTAGACTGGAATTTCTGAGTTTGATCGTAGCCATCAGTGGCTATTATGAGTTGGGCCCTTCAATGTCCCTCCTACTGACCAATCAGATTCCACCTCTCATATCACTTGCATTGGCTTCAAATAAATGATGTCGTCCAGTGAAGACGATCTGATTGAAAATCAGGATCTATATTGTAATTAAACTGATCTTACTTCCCGAAGTGGATCAAATCACGTGAGCACCTTGATTAAAACCATGAAAAGATTTGGAACATATCTGTTGATACTAAGTTTTCGGTACATGTTTTGCAAATCCAGGATTCGACCAAAATCTTCACAGCAGTTTACCAACAGGTGTTAGTTTTGTTACGTGATATCTATAGGGCTATGCATAGACTCGTTTGTCCAGCCAAAATGTAACTCAATAATTCCAGGCTTTTTCGGTACTTTTATAGTCTGGTAGTCAGTTAACTCCCTTACCCCGGGAAGATGCTATAAACATGATAAAGATTATTTACAAATTGGTATGGAACTTGGTAAATATTTTCATTTATTATCTTTTTCATAGACAGGATGGCCACATACATCATGTACATGGCACACTAACGATTTACAGTTGGCAGTGTCAAGTATGGCGCAATGGACGAAATCATTTATATTTTCACTGATATTTTTCACAAGTACTTAGCATTTGGTGTAACATTTATTAAAGAATAAATTTAACGTAAGAATCGATACTTTTTACATAGTGTGCGATTGTGATCGATACTTGTACCGAGAAGTGAAAAATCGCGATCTACCGATGCATCAGTGTAACGTCCCACTACTATATAAAAACCACCAATACAACCAAGTGATCTATACAGATGAATCAGAAAGACCCAACAGCCAGGCTATCAGTCATACAATCTTCATGATATCCTGATATACACAAACTAACAATAACATGCATTGTGAGCACGGATGCCTCCTAACGGAACAATGCCATGGATTCCCTGAGTGAGATAAGCCAATACTTTGATTCCATAAATCAACACCAGATCCTCCGTGGCCTATCCGACATCAAAGTCCACATCCCCCTGCTCTTACACCACCTGAAGAAGCAGGGCTAGAGAGAACAATGGGATCCCCTTCCCCAATAGGTCCAGTCTGGGGGACAGATGATCCTAGGCTTCAACACCTGTTTTGTATGAAGCAGTATGGAGCTGTATTTATATTGACTGTTTGGGTAAATAGGGTCTCAGACAATATTGGTATGGTTGAAATATTTTCTGAATTCCTGCCTTGTGGTTAGAACTTGCAACATCTTTCTTTTTTCAGGGATGATCATGTTGATATCATATAATCAGAATCAGCGGAGGAAGAAACTAACATTTTTACTTTTAGTCCATTTGTCCTTATAATGATAACATATAGCAAAACCAATAAAAATGGCAAATGTCTAATAGTCCTTATAATACCTTAACTATTGGGCAGTTTGGCTAGGACTACAGGACTAGTGCCAATTTCGGACGCTGATCAGTAAAATCATAGACCATGTAGACCAACAGTGACCTGTAATTCATACTTATATGTCTTTGAGGGGTCAATTCTTACAGCCAAATGTTGGCCCTATCCCTTGTTTATAAATTCACTGAAAAAAGCATGAATAAAAAATATGATCTAGGCTCATCTACAGTGGTAGAAACCAACATCTTTAGTCAACTAGTCCTTATAAAGATAACATTTAGCAAAGTCCTACTACTGGTACTAGGCAAATTTCTGCTAGGCCTTATGATACCTTAACTATTGGGCAGTTTGGCAAGGGCTACAGGACTAGAGCCAATTTCCAGTGCTGATCTATATTGTGATTATACATTCTCTAAGGCAAACTGAAGAAGCACTCCTAATATATACTAGTGAGTGAGATGAAATTTAACTTTACATTGGCAATATTTCAGATATATATCTACAATCTAATATATCATTAAATAAACAAGAACTAACAATGTCTAATTAGTTAAGTTAGACTTTCAGCAATTTAATTAGAATATGTCCTAAAGGACCTTTAGACCTAGTCTTTATTTCTCATATGACATGACAACTAAGTTGCCTGCTTGTTACTGGATATACTTTACTGTTGAATGTCAACAGCGAACACGGTAATGCATAAAAATTATGCTTACTGTTTGACACATGTACGATTTATAGAAACCATAGTAACACAAAATACCATGGATTTTGGTCTTGCAGACATGACCAACTAGCTAAAAAGCCAGGGTACAAATATATAGGATTTCAATTACAGAAATAAATATTGCAATAAAGCTTAGATGTATTTCATGCATATGAAACAATGCAATTCAATTAAGTAAACATAGTTTAAGTATAAATGCAATATGTTGAAGCTATTCCACGAAGCATCAACAAACAGGTGAGTCTTGGCACATTGCCACACCCACCTGAGGTTGACAGATACGACAACAGAGTGGCCTCCCTTGATTAGTTTAATGACAAGGGATCGCAAACTTTCAAATCAAATAAAACGCACCTGGGACGAGATTACGCAATATACTATGGTGCATTACGAAAACATATTCATTGAATCATGGAAAACATGTTTCAACCCAGCCACATACTCATAGAAATTAAATAATCGCTGAAAAAGTGACCCAACAACTTCCTCGGAACACAAACAAATTTTGTGACCGTCCAAAATGGCGTCACCCGACCATCTGTCTTTAAAAATACACTGAAATAAAGTTGTTGGTTGTCTGAAATTGAACAGAAAGTGTCGGTACATCTCAAAAATTAAAATTTCAAAATACACGTACCTTTCCCGTTGCTTTTTTGTATCTAGTAATCGCTTTATCAATGAGTTCTCGAACCAAGATCTCGCCATCGCCACACGGTACGATCACTCGCACTTCTTCAAAACAAACTGTCACCTTCATGAGCAGAATTTGCACATAAAACTTTCCAAGCGAAAATGGTTCGATCTGTGCAACATTTAGAAGGTTACCGACGAATTTATGAAGTTAAATAATCCAGTACAATATCAAGAATACACGAAAACTTAAAATTAAACTGCCGTCCTCTGAATCGGCCACAGGTCGCTCTCTTCCTCATAACACCTCATCCGAGCGTTCGCTTGTAAGTTGATACTCCGTCTCTCACTCTGTGAGGATCACATGGCCCCATACTCCACGGCCCGTTGTAGTAATGGTCCTAAGTCGAAGCTCTTCCTCATTCCCACATCGATAATTAGTCTGCAATCATCAAGAATTTCCCATGCAGAGGAGACGAATCCACTCGAATTGACAGTCTTCCTTTTCACTTTGTTCTCTGAATGAATTTACCCCCGTATCCTCGTTATACGGCGCCTGGTTGGAGGTCGATTAAGAACAGGTGTTGTTATTACACGATCATCCCGTAATTGAGGCCCTTAGTGCCCTACATCACCCCCAATTTCGTGTCAATCTTCGTGTTTTCATGACCCATTGCTAGCGACTTCCTCTATAGGCCTTGATTACATTTTACCTGAGCCTCGTTTTGAAACTCGGCCAGGTATAGATGCGGGGTCATTCAAGTGGATCAGAGGTATGGATGATTCACAGTTTCATAACACTTTGCGGTCACTGTGCGTGGTAAACAATTGTTACAATTGTAAACAGAGAGGAAGAATATTTAAAAGAACCACTATCTATAGATGACTAAGGCTGAATACATCTGCCATTGAAGACGCTTGTTTTAAAGCTACAAAGTATTTGTTCAATGTTGAACACTTTACGCTCAATAATCAACAAGTACGTGCTTTCAGAGGTGTTTTAAGTTCGGCTAAACATCATATTGTTTGACTAACTATATACAGAGACCATACATAGATCTATTTAATGGTCTGCTATATATGAACATATTTTAGCCATTTTTATAAAATCTTTACCAAAATTACCAAAATCAACGTATGTGTCTTCTTTTAGTAAAGATAGATGCTAGATTAAATTCTCCTTAATATATGATTCTTCAATAAAAGTTATTTTTCGAAAAAATTAAGTCCCTATGGATTTAATTTTGTAATATAGCAATGCAGTATTGAAAATAAATAACTCACTATTTAAGTTAATTGGGTAAACATCTTTACAAACAGTTAGGTCAATCCGTAGACTTGTTATATTATTTTATCGAAACGTTGCCAGAACCGGCATGATGGGAGCATTAACTCCACCTTTTATTTGTTATATACAACAATACGCTCTACACACATGGGAATCGTTGCGTGTGAAACTGATTTTGTCAATTGAAGAGTAACGGAAGTCGAGAATGGGCTTCTCTTGAACTTAATGCAGAAAGGAAACCACTCAAGTGTTCTCGGGAACCGTAAAATACAATCGGAAATGCTCGTGAAGCTGTAGATTGTGGTATCTTGTTATATCTCGGAATAATAGACGATAATCTTTGTAATTAAATTACTTACTTAAAGAACACGCCCATCGTTGGAACTGGAGTGTTTGTACCGGGTCTGTACATTGTTATCTGAATTTCTATCCAAAAATAATTGTACTTTTTAATCTCAAATGACGTTAAAAAGTAGTTTCGGGACAAGAGTCTTAATACATTTTTTTTCATATAGTATATAATTGAAAAGTACCCTTTGTTGTGGAGTCTTGTGAAGCCATTGATGTTTTTAATATTTAGTAGTTGGGGCCTGTGAGGGTTAAACCAGTCTAAATAATCAAAGTGGCTGAAGATCTAAGAGTACTACCCATACGTTTCGAATACATGTATAGCGCCGGGGCGGTGGGGTAGCCTAGTGGTTAAAGCGTTCGCTCGTCACGCCGAAGACCCGGGTTCGATTCTCCACATGGGTACAATGTATGAAGACAATTTCTGGTGCCCCCCACCCTGATATTGCTGGAATGTTGCTGAAAGCGGCGTAAAACCTCACTCACTCATGTATATCGCCAAATATATACCTAGTTTCGTTTTTGGACTTTCAAAGCTATAACATTTATTGAATAAGTAATATTTTTAAGGTTCTGTTTAAAGTAACAAGGCCAGGGCAAATGGCAATAGCAGCAAGTTTGATTCAAGTCGGTAAAAGATGAATCTTATTGAACTCCGAATTTTTATGATGACTATATCCATCTAACGGTTAATAATTACCCACATTACGCATAGACAGGGTCTCATACAAGACTGACACTTATAATAATGTGTAGATTTAGACTGGGAACCGTCTACTATAGTTGTCACTATTTTAACCCGCATGTGTCGAACTTGGTGTATCGAATTCCCGGTTGTCTCGAACCCAATTTTATAGTCCGAAGAGTTGAAAATACTTTGAAACTTACCAGAACTTTGTAATATATTTTTAATCCGCAAAATTAAACTTCAAAGACAGGAAACAATTGACTGGCCCGAAATAAAGGCTGCCACGGTTCAGGGACTTGACACGTGCTATTAAACGGTTATCTTCATTTGAATCGCGATTTCTAACAAACATGAGATGTTGGGGAATCCTCTGATAATCCTTCGACAACAACTGATTTAAGATTAATCAAGCATATCACCAAGAGACCCCAGCCTGTTTATTTATTGATGGCGGGACAGGGACCTTTTGTTTTGCTTCACAGCAAGCCGCTGCGCAGTGATAACACATGCTTGATAACAGTACCAGAACCTGTACCTATATATCGCATTGAAAAAACAAAAAAAAGTTGAAATATGACAACACTTAACGATAATGAACATTTTGATGGGACTTAGTCTGTCATACAGACCCTGAAACAAATATATCAAATAGAGCCCAAGTAAGTCTATATACTTTGCAAGTCTAGATTACTGCAATTTTCTGAAAAATAAGAGTTTTTAGGCTCATGTGTATACTATTTTTATTAAGATAGCTGAAAAAAACTTCTTCTTTTTTTCTGTAAAATATTTTCATTTCAGAGACTAGATATTAGTCTAGCTAAGACTGTAAAGTTAATTTACCTTAGCCATCGAATACTGCATCCACAATAGGCGACTAAAAATCACAGTGTTTGTGTACGTTTTGTATTGTTTACCGATTCTTATTTTGTTTTCAATATCTCATGTTTACGAAGCACAATGCATCGAACAGACATTATGCCGAGGGCGTGACGTGTTTGCGTTTTGATAATGTTCACACGGAGTTTTTAGCCATGGAAAAGTGAAATATATATCACATCATTGCCAACCCCACCCGGCGCAAATTCTCGTTAAGGTGGAAAGAAGACGCATGCAGTTTAGGAGGTTAGGTGTTGAATGGAGAGTTCCACTTTTTGTTCGTTGGGTCGTGTGATATGATATGTTTAACCGGAATATTGTTGCCGGAAATAATCTGGCCCCAAAACATTATACAGAAACAAGTCAAAAAGAATGTTGACTTCCAGGTTTTATGTTGTTTGTTTGTTGACATTGTTTATTTACTTTATTCATTGATTTAGGGAGGGAGCTTGGTTGTGTCACTCACTCACTCACTCACTCACTATTTATTTGTGTGAAACGTAACACACACGTATAGTGTTCATGATATGTATTTATTTTCAGCGTTAAATTACAAGGGTATGCCCAACACGCTGGTTAAATACGTACATGCACACATTGCATTAGCTTGTAAAGCTGTGGTGAAACGTTCGCAACCAGACACTGACAATTTCTTGTTCTGAATTACGGAAATAGCCGAACAAATCTGCATGCACATACAGATGCACTGGTTTTCTCGAAATAAGCAAGAGCTGTTCCGAGTAATATTTTTGATCCCAGAACATATGTTTTGATAGTGAATTGTGTAGTCATTACGGTGATGGTAGTTTTCAAACTACACGTTAATATATTTTTTCATACGTAGCTCTGATACTCCCCGTCGTCTGTGGACACACATGTCCTTCACACATGTACTGGAGGACTGACTTTCAACTTAACCAACGTTAGACCGTTATGAAAGTCAAATTGACCCTGTTACATTTCTCCCTCCATACAATCTCAATCCAGACATACAACTTCCCTCCGGATAATCTCCATCCACCCATGCACCTTCCCTCCGGATAATCTCCATCCACCCTTGCACCTTCCCTCCGGATAATCTCCATCCACCCATGCACCTTCCCTCCGGATAATCTCCATCCACCCATGCACCTTCCCTCCGGATAATCTCCATCCACCCATGCACCTTCCCTCCGGATAATCTCCATCCACCCTTGCACCTTCCCTCCGGATAATCTCCATCCATCCATGCACCTTCCCTCCGTACAATCTCCATCCACCCTTGCACCTTCCCTCCGGATAATCTCCATCCACCCTTGCACCTTCCCTCCGTACAATCTCCATCCACCCTTGCACCTTCCCTCCGTACAATCTCCATCCACCCTTGCACCTTCCCTCCGTACAATCTCCATCCACCCTTGCACCTTCCCTCCGGATAATCTCCATCCACCCATGCACCTTCCCTCCGGATAATCTCCATCCATCCATGCACCTTCCCTCCGTACAATCTCCATCCACCCATGCACCTTCCCTCCGGATAATCTCCATCCATCCATGCACCTTCCCTCCGTATAATCTCCATCCACCCATGCACCTTCCCTCCGGATAATCTCTATCCATCCATGCACCTTCCCTCCATACAATCTCCATCCACCCATGCACCTTCCCTCCGGATAATCTCCATCCATCCATGCACCTTCCCTCCGTACAATTTCCATCCAGACATACAATTTCCCTCCGGATAATCTCCATCCATCCATGCACCTTCCCTCCGGATAATCTCCATCCATCCATGCACCTTCCCTCCGTACAATCTCCATCCACCCTTGCACCTTCCCTCCGGATAATCTCCATCCACCCATGCACCTTCCCTCCGGATAATCTCCATCCATCCATGCACCTTCCCTCCATACAATCTCCATCCAGACATACAACTTCCCTCCGGATAATCTCCATCCATCCATGCACCTTCCCCCCGTACAATCTCCATCCACCCTTGCACCTTCCCTCCGGATAATCTCCATCCACCCTTGCACCTTCCCTCCGGATAATCTCCATCCATCCATGCACCTTCCCTCCGTACAATCTCCATCCACCCTTGCACCTTCCCTCCGGATAATCTCCATCCACTCATGCACCTTCCCTCCGGATAATCTCCATCCATCCATGCACCTTCCCTCCGTACAATCTCCATCCACCCTTGCACCTTCCCTCCGGATAATCTCCATCCACCCATGCACCTTCCCTCCGTACAATCTCCATCCACCCATGCACCTTCCCTCCGGATAATCTCCATCCACCCTTGCACCTTCCCTCCGGATAATCTCCATCCACCCATGCACCTTCCCTACATACAATCTCCATCCACCCATGCACCTTCCCTCCGGATAATCTCCATCCACCCATGCACCTTCCCTCCATACAATCTCCATCCACCCATGCACCTTCCCTCCGTACAATCTCCATCCACCCTTGCACCTTCCCTCCGTACAATCTCCATCCACCCTTGCACCTTCCCTCCGGATAATCTC